TGTTTTTGTATGTGATTTGCCAGAATTTTATTGAGAATTTTTGTATCTATGTTCATCAGGGATATTGGTCCACAAATAAAAAAACAAATGGATGAAATTTTCTATATATGTCTGTTAATCTAAATTATTACTTGCATAATTTAGTTCTATACTTGATGTGTCTTTGTCTGGTTTTGGTATAAGGGTGATATGAGCCTTGAAGAATGAGTTTGAGAGGGTTCCCATCTTTTCTATTTCATGAAATACTTTGAGGAGTGCTGGTGTTAGTTCTTCTTTGAAGGTCTTGTAGAACTCAGCTGAGAAGTCATCTGTCCTGGGCTTTTCTTTGTTGGTAGACTTTTGATGGCATTTCCTTTTTTTAATTGATTTTTTAAAAAATAAATGCAATCTGTATTTGGGGTAAAAATGGGAGTTCATAACCCACTTGAATCTAATGTATGAAATATGATATGTCAAGAGCTTTGTAATGTTTTGAACAACCAATAAAAAAATAAACTATAAAAATAAATAAATAAATAACAGTAAAAGGCATTACAATTCTTATTACATGTATAGCATAATTTTTCTTATTGCTGGTTGTATATAAAGTATGTTGATACCAATTTTTTTTCTTCATACATGTACTTTGGATGATGATGTCTATCACTCCACCATTCTTGCTAATCCCTTGCTCCTCCATTTTCCTCCCACCCCTCTGCCCTATCTAGAATTCATCAATTCCTCCCATGCTCCCCCTCCCTACCCCATGTTTCACAATTAATATGTTTTAATCATGTATAGCCTCCTCATTCAGTTTGGGTAGGTCATATATATTTAGAAATTTTTTTGATGTCTTCAATATTTTCTGTTTTATTGGAATATAAATTTTCAAAATAGTTTCTAATTATATTTTTATTTCAGACATATCCATCATATTTCCTTCTTTGTCTTATATTTTTGTAATTTGAATTTTCTCTCTTTTTTTCTTCATTAGCATGGCCTGAGATTTATCTATTTTATTTATTTTTTCAAAAACCCAACTTTTTGTTTGGTCAATATTTTCAATTGTTTTTTTTTTGTCTCAATTTCATTGATTTCAGCTCTGATTTTAATTATGCTTTTGGTGTTGATTTCTTCTTATTTTTATAACACTTTGAAATGTAGTGTTAGGTCACTTATTTGTTGACTTTTTATTCTTCTAATGAATGCAGTCAATGTAATAAACTTTCCTCATAGTACTGTATTTATAGTGTCCCAGAGATTTTAATATATTGTATGGGTATTCTCATTTACCTCTAATAATTTTTTTATTTCATCCTTGATTTCTTCTACTATCCATTTCTCATTCAATAGTGCATTATTTAGTCTTCATTTGGTACAGTAGTTTTTATTTTTTATTTTATATTTGATTTCTGATTTCATTCCATTGTGGTCTGATAGAATGCAGGCTATTATCTCTGTTTTTTTTTATTTGTGTGTGTGTGTGTGTGTGTGTATTTACTAAGAGTTTTTTTATGGCATAAGGTATGATCTATTTTAGAGAAAGAGGCATGTACAGCTGAGAAGAAAGCGTACTTGCTTGTGAATGGATGAAATTTTCTATATATGTCTGTTAAATCTAAATTATTGCTTGCATAATTTAGTTCTATAGTTTTCTTGTTTATTTTTTGTTTGGAAGATCTGTCCAGTAGTGAGAAAGGTGTGTTAAAGTCACCCAGTATTATTGTATTGTGGTCTGTTTGACTCTTGAAATTGAGAATGATTTGTTTGATGTACATAGATGCTCCATTTTGGGTGCATAAATATTTATAATTGTTATGTCATGCTTATATATATTTCCCTTAAGAACTATGAAATGTCCTTCTTTATCTCTTCTGATTAACTTTGATTTGAAGTCTACTTTATTTGAGATGAGAATGGAAACCCCTGCTTGTTTGCACAATTCATATGAATAATAAGTTTTTTCTCATCCTTTCAACTTCAGCCTGTGAATGTCTTTGCCCATGAGGTGAGTCTCTTTAAAACAGAATATTGTTGGGTTTTTCTTTTTAATCCAGTCTGCCAATCTATGTTTTTTGATTGATGAGTTTAGGCATAATATTCAAGGTTATTGTTGAGACTTGATTTGTATTCCCTCTTATTTTTATTTCTGGGTTTTGATTTGTCTTAGTTTCTCATTTGGTTGAACATTCCTTTCTGAGATCCTCCTTTTACTGGTTTTCACTTGTTTTCCCACTTCATCCTAATGTAATCATTTGTTGAGAATGTTCTTTAGTGTAGGCTTGCTAGTTGTGAATTCTTTTAATTTTTGTTTATCATGGAAGATTTCAATTTCATCTTCAAATCTGAAACTTAATTTTGCTGGATATAAAATTCTTGATAGGCATCTATTTCCTTTCAGAGCTTGAAATATATTATTCCAGGACCTCCTAGCTTTGAGGGTCTGGGTTGAGAAATAAGTTGAGATCCAAATGGTTTCCCCCTATATGTAATTTGATTTTTTTCTCTCACAGCCTTTAAGGTTTTATGTTTAGTCTCTGTGTTAGTCATTCTCATTATAATGTGTGGGTCTGCTGTAATTTTGTACATTCGTGGTCTTATAAGCCTTTTGTATTTGATTTTCCTTTTCATTCTTTAGGTTTGGAAATTTTTCTGCTATTATATTACTGAAAAGATTTTGCATTCCTTTGGTTATATCTCTGCTCTTTATCTATTTTGATTGCCCTTATATTTTCTCTTTTAATGTTATCCCATAATTCTTGGATGTTCTGTTCAACACTCTGTCAGTGTTTAAAGTTTCTCAGCCTTGTCTTCTCTGCATGATCAACTCTCCTTTCGAGATTATAAATTTTGTCTTCATTGTCTGAGGTCCTGTCTTCCAAATGGTCTAGTCTGTTGGTGATGAGTTCTATTGAGTTTTTAATTTTGTTTACTAATTTCTTCATTTTGAGAATTTCTGCTTTTTTTCATGATCTCTAACTCTTTATCCAAGTTTTTTTTCACTTCCTGTATTTTTTCTTTAATCTCACTTCTATACTTTCATTTACTTCACATATCAATTTAACTATGTACAATCTGAACTCCTTCTTGGACATTTCGTCTACTATGTTATCAGTGGCTTCTGTTGAAGCATCTTGGTTTGTTTTATTCCCTTTTTTTTCATATTGTTAGTGTGTTTTTCCATCTAGAAGTATTGACCTAGGCAGCATAAATTCTACACTATAGACTTATAGTTTTCCAGAATGTTTACAGTGCCTTGCCTTTAATGGTGAGACCAATATCAACAGCACCCAGTGTATACAATATATAGCCGTAAACCTAATAGCTCCCACTAAGGCATCTACTGCTTTCTTGCATTAAACCAAAATGATGAGTTCAATAACTATCTATAGTACAGACCAAAAATTTGCTAAAATGGTTTACAATTTCAAATGGTGAATGAGAGAACAGAGATAGTGTAGTAGTACCCTATATTCACGAGAGAGGAAGAGAGAAGCTAGAAGTAAATATTCACAGGAAGAGTGGAAGAAGAGCCAACAGAGATTGTCTGTTGGTTGGAGAAAAGTTGGAAAGAAAATCCAAAAACAGTATACAAGAAGAGGAAAAAAGAAAAAAATAAAGACATAAGAATACAACAAAAATGCAAAACACCATTCATATATCATTGTCCTACACACATTAATGCATATAAACAAAATCCTATTTCAGATATAGTAGAGACATTAGGTAATCAAAAAATAAAATAAAATAAATCTTGCTAGAAAGTCAAACTGTCCCTGTCAGTGTTTAAAGTTTCTCAGCCTTGTCACTGACATCACTCAGAATCACCAAACCCGGATCAGCCCTCACAAACCTAGCTACTATCCCACCAATCTGGGCTTCAGATACCTCAGGCTTGGCCATCCTTCTATTCCAAGGTCTCAATGGTGCTCCTACTTGCAGAGAGACCACTAGGGATACACTCATGCAAAGGAGCAATCCTGAGATATAGCAGCAAGACGAGGGCCACCAACAATCTCAGCTGGAAGACCTAAGTCTCCTCTAAACCCACAGGCATCTCACACTGGACCTGCAGGTCCTAGCTGGAATCCCTAGAGACTCTTGTGGTGGTAAACCTGCTGGCACCTGGGCTTCAGCCCCTGGCTGATGTTGCAAAATGGGTGCAGCCACGTGCAACCAAACCTGGAGTTTCCCTAGTAGTCCTCTAGGCCATGATAGCAGTGGAGGTGGGTGGTTGTTGGTAGCAGGCAGAGGGTCTGCAGCACTGGTGGCTGCAGTAGTAGCAGCCACAACTGCAGTGTGAGGGCATTTTCACCAGGCCATCTCTGTGGGTCAGCTACAGTGTTGGCTTCAGTTGCATCCAGAAAAGTGGTATCTTCTGTGGCAGGAGCAGGTGGTTAGCTATAAGGGCAGCAGCACCCAGAAAGAAGACTTCCAGGCAACCTTGGACTGGCAGCAGCAGAATCAGAGTCAGCAGTAATGGCAGTAACGGTGTAGGTAGCTATTAATTGACAGGAGACCTCCAGTTCAGGGCAGCGACCACAGAGGTAGCCGAGGCTGTGCTCAGAGAAGATAACTCTGGGTAAGGAAGTGGCATCTTCAGCCACAGGGTCTTTGGCAGCAGCGGCGTCTGGTGCAGCATGTCTGCCTAAACTAGTTTTTATCCATATAAAATTCTTAGAACACTGCCTAGCATATTAAAAATGCTCAAAAAAAGATTTGGTTGAAAAAGTCATGATTGGGATTATGTGTTTTCCATTAATGAGTAACCAAAAGTACTTGAATCCATAATTTCCTTGTTCACCCAAAAATGAGTTCACATTTTTCCCCTTGAAGTCCCAATGGAACCAGATCTACTTGTTTGTACTTTCACAGTACTTACACGAATAAGTGCTCAATCTGGCAAGCCAGCAGCATTAATCAACTTGTGATCACTGGAGAAGGCTATAAAACCAAGACTCCTTCTGTCTTACCAAAGACATTTTGAGCTGTCCCACATCACTCAAGTAGCTGCATCAGCAATGAAGATATTTTGCATTTTTCTGATCTTTTTCTTCAACGTGTTTTGTGAACTATCAGGTAACATTTGTAATAAGGAGGATATGTGAAGGACAAAATGTTCTTATAAATGCCTTAGTCTAATTCAAATATAAATAAATATATTGTTAGGGGACTCCATATAAACTTCTTAAAAGACAATCTATTTTTTCATAGAAAAAGAAATAAAAACTGATCATTGAGAAAATATTGGGAATTTTTTTTTCCCCCACGATGTAGCTTTGGATCTATGTACTGTGTTGACTTAGGTGATGGGACTATGACTCTTTAACAGCTTTCTACAGCATTTTCTTTTAAAATGAAATTTCATTAACTGATATTGTAGCTGTTGAAAAAAATTGTTTATATAAATAGACTATTTTGTCCAGGTCCCCTACCTACCTCCCCCCACCTCCCCCTGTTTTTTTGTACTGGAGATTGATACAAGGGCACTCAAACCCTGAGAAACATCTCCAGACTTTGACTTTTTTGCTTTGTTTTTGTTTTTGTTTTTTTGAGACAGGATCTCGCCAAATTGCTTAGGACATCATTAAGTTGCTGAGTCTGGCTTTAAACTTGTGCTCCTCCTCTCTCAGGTTCCCACACACCTGGGATAACAGGTGTGTGCCACAGCACCTGGCTTTCTTCCCTTTACTTTTGAGTGCTCACCCACAAATTATATATTTAAGGATGTCCTATTTATAAAACATGCTAGTACAAAGGAAATACTGTTAGATAAATAAGAATTTATCTTATGCCAAAATATATGCTAAAAGATCTTCGGTAATGTTTCCTGGGCATGATTTTATAACAAAATGGTTAAACTGTATGCAGTAAAGAACTTTTATCTGTTTACCTATCTATCTGGATTAAACACAAATTTATAATCATAGCTTATTTTTCCTACTTTCACAACAAAAAGCTGAAGACAAAGCAGAAAGACAACGTAAATGTCAACTGGTCCAGGGTGTTTGCAAGCTTAAATGCAACAGCTGGGAATATGTCTTTACTCACTGCAACTTTGAGCCCTGCTGTGTAATTCGGGAATACAGACGCCCTTAGAATAAAGAGTGCAGCATCTCATGCAAAGGTATACTATGATTCCAATATATTCTCAACGCTACATTGTAACAAAATTATTAATAAAATGAATTTTTACTCTATCCATCTACTTGCAAGTGGGTTTCATCTGGTTTTCTCTATCTTATAATTTAATATTTAATGCTTCTTTTTTATCATTGTCATAAATGAGCTCATTGTGTTTCCAGGTTTCCACATTCCTCATTAATTTATGTCATAATATTGAATTAATTTTAACATAAATTTCCTTATGAATTATAAAACATCAGTAAAACTTGATATGCAGAATTTAAATTACCTGCTGACTATATACTTTACTTAGACCTACAGCATTTATATGAATAGTATCAGAAATTGGGAAAGAATTCTGACACAGTGAAAACAAAGAAATTCAGTGAATTTGAGTTTTAGTAGGGATGGATAATTTCTAGTTTTATTACTAGGACAATTTTCTTACAAGTTGATTATTAGGAAATACAGTGAGAAGAACAGATTTGCAAAGGAACATTTGTGACATGTTAAATGTAGTCATTTCTGTTACATATGGGTGTAAGACACAGGAAAGAAAAATAAATTTCAGACATAGATTTGTGGAGCCATTAACTAAAGCTGTGAGGCTAAATAACCCAAAGACAGGTTAAGAATGAAAAGGAAAAAAAAACGTATGCAATCCTAAGGAATAACATTTGAATAATGTAAAAAAAAAAAAAAAGAAACATAAAGGAGGATAAGGAGAAGCTAAGCAATGAGAATTCACTCTCAGGTTTTACCTTCTCAGTTGATGTCCCCCAATTCAAGACAGGAAAACCTGTTCCTCTCATGTTCTATCCAACATAAGCCATGAACATTTTAGCCATCAAGTTTAAGAGAAGTTAATACATGGAAACATTCACCAGAACAGAATCTAACTTTCAGGTTGCAAAAGTTAAAAAATAAAACATGTAAGAATGAATAAATCCTAGGCAGGACCTCTGGAATGATAGATAGAGTAAGAACTCTGGAAATCTGTTCTTTGACAAAAGCCACAAAATATTGGAAAAAAGTTGTTGAATACAACTTTATAATAGTTCTTCACATTACCCAGACTTGGAAAAAATGCAGTGAACATTATTTTAAAAAAAATCTTGAATCCCAGTAAGAGCAGCAAGATGAGATTTGTGATATTTTAATTGTCCTATTTCTATTCTCCTCTTTTCACTTCCAGGGTAGCCTTGAAAACCAACAGCCTTGCAAACATGTTCACTGTGAATACATAAGGAATACTACAACTTGATAACAAAAGGACAACTTACCCAGCTAAAAATGAACAAAAGATTTGAAAATACATTTCTCTAAGGAAAACATAAAAATGTCTAGCATGTGAAGAATTATTTAGATGTATAGTCATCAAAGAAATGCACATCAATATCTCTCTTTCCACTAAGAGGGCCATAATCAAAAGAACAGGTAATACCAAAAGTTGGCTAGGCTATGAAGAAGAAATTGGAAGTCTCATACACTGATGGTGGAAAAAAATATAAATTGGGGCAAACACTTTAAAAAACAGTCTGGAAATTCCTGGGAGAGTTGAACTTGGAGTTTTCTATTTGACACCATAATTCCATTCCTAAGCAGATGTAGGAAAGAAATGAAAATATATCATCAAAAAAACTTGTATACACAAATGTTCATAGCAATAGTATTCACAGTAATCAGAACTTGGCAACAATCGAATGTATATAAATTGATGGATGAATAAAATTATGTGATGTATCTATATTACAGAATAATATTCAACAACTAAATGGAATTAAGTATAGGTTTATGCTACAACATAGACAGACCTTGAAAAAAATATTAATTGAATGTAGCCACTCATAAACTGTCACATACAACAGTTTTCCATTAAATACATAAATTATACAGAATAGGCAAAATTATAGATAGAAAGTAGAATACTATTTTCTTAGGTGTCAGTGGGTGACACAGTTTGTATGTAGTTTAATTGTTTAGTTATGTCATTTAAAGGTCCACTGAGATGAAAGTCTTGTCCCCAGGATGGGATGTCACTAGTGGCACATGATAGAACCTTTAGGATGTGGGTCCTGGAGGGAGGGCCATTATTGGGAGCAAGCCCTTTCAAGGGATCAGGGAAGTCAGTCTCTCTCTGACTTCCTGTTTTGTGGTATTAGCTCTTCCTCACATAAACACATCTCTGCCATAATTTGACTGTAGCTGGGTGGGCCTTCTCCAAACTGAGCTGATGAAGGTGCCATGCCCCCAAACCTCTACAGAAGAAAAATAAACTTCTTTGTATAAGTTAGTTGCCTCTAGTATTTCACTGTAGTGACACAAACCTGACTAGTAAAGGCGTAAAGGAAATATGAAAGGTGATGACTAAAAAATACAGTTTCTTCAGGGGTGATGAGGTGTTATCCCAAAATATAGCACCTAAGTCTCTGAGAAAAAAAAAAAAGCAGAAATAAGTATACTCTCATCTTCCCCTTGCCTCATCTCTCCTGAAGCAGCTTGCAAAATATAGATGATCTTTCTCCAAATTAGTTCATATAACCCATGAGGTGGTGCACACCTGTAGCCCCAGCTGAAGCAGGCTGAAGCAAGAGGATAATTTGAACTCAAGATTTTAAGGCCAGCCAGGGCAGTATAGTGAGACTCGCCTCAAAAACAAACAAACAAACAAAGTGCCCTCAGTATACACCAAAGGAAAGAAACATCCTTGCTGAAAGCATCTAGGCAACAAGAAGAATCTGAATACACTGACATTGCTAATATCACCAAAGATTGTCATCATAGGATTCCCTCTGTCTGATCATACTTTTGCAGAACTGTCCACTCTTCATGAAAACTGAGCATAAAAATGCACAAATTTTCCTATTCCTTTGACACTTCATTTCTGAGGTTTTCTATGTAATGCACAGCTTCTATTAAGTATGTGCTTATGTTTTTTTTTTCTTGTTACCTTTTCAATTGTTATAGGGGTCTCTGCCATGAACCTAGTGGATGGTTAAAAATAAGAAAGTCTTTCTCAAAAGGTTTACAAAAGCATGCTGAAATTGTTTAAGTCTGTGACTACATAACTCCATGAAAATATTAAGTACTATTGAATTTTACACATTAATAGGCAAATTAACCGATTTAAGTGAGTTGTACATCAATAATTTTATTAAAAAGAAAATTTTATGTCACAAATTATGCAAGTAAAAAAAAGCAGTATATTAACAACTTTTAAATACTGGAAAATTCTTCCAAATTATGATTATACTCATCAAAATCAAAAATATCCAAAAAGTATAAAATAAAGACATGCTCAAGCAAAATATTAAACAAAAACCCTAATAAACACATTTTCAACCATCAATTCTTTTAAAAATTTATTTATTTATTCTAATTTGTTATACATGACAGCAGAATGCATTTCAATTCATAGTACACAAATAGAGCACTATTTTTTTATTTCTCTGGTTGTACACAAAATAGAGTCACACCATTCCTGTATTCATACATGTACTTAAGATAATGATGTCCATCTTATTCCACCATCTTTTCAACATACCCCCACACCCTTTTCTTTCCCCTCCCTCCCCTATGTCCTATGTCAAGTTCCTCTATTCCTCCCATGCTCCTCCTCTCCCCGCCACCTCCAAATCCATTATGGATCAGCATCTACTATCAGAGAAAATATTTGGATTTTGTTTTGGGGGGATTGGCTTACTCCATCGATTTAACTGCAGATGCTATGATTTTATTATTCTCTTTTAATGCTGAGTTATATTACTCTGTGTGTGTGTGTGTGTGTTATACCCTAGAGATTAGTACTCTATCTGATGTGTGAGAGGTAAAATTTTTCTTCCAGGATGTAGGCTCTCTATTCACCTCATAGATTGTTTCTTTTGCTGAGAAGAAACTTTTTTAGTTTGATTGCATCCCATTTATTGATTCTTGGTTTTAATTCTTGCACTATAGGAGTCTTATTAAGGAAATTGGGACCTAATCCCAAATGATGAAGATTAGGGCCTACTTTTTCTTCTATTCGATGCAGAGTCTCTGGTTTAATTCCTAGGTCCTGGATCCACTTTGAGTTGAGTTTTGTGCATGGGGAGAGAAAGGGGTTTAATTTCATTTTGTTGCATATGGATTTCCAGTTTTCCCAGCACCATTTTTTGGAGAGGCTATCTTTTCTCCAATGTATGTTTTTGGCGCCTTTGTCTAGTATGAGATAAATGCATTTATGTGTTATCTCATACTACACAAAGTTATTTTTCTCTGTGTCCTTTATTCTATGCCATTGATCTACAAGACTATTTTGGTGCCAATACCATGCCATTTTTGTTACTATTGCTCTGTTGTATATTTTAAGGTCTGGTATAATGATGCCACCTGCTTCACTCTCGTGCTAAGGATTGGCTTGGCTATTCTGGGTCTCTTATTTTTCCAGATAAGTTTCATTATTGTTTTTTCTATTTATTTGAGGAATGTCATTGGGATTTTGATTGGGATTGCATTAAATCTGTATAGTGCTATTAGTTGTATGGTCATTTTGACAATATTAATTCTGCCTATCCATGAACAAAAAAGATCTTTCATCATTTAAGTTTTCCTTTAATTTCTATCTTTAGTGTTCTGTAGTTTTCATTGTAGGGGACTTTAACCTGTTTTATTAAGTTGATTGTCAAGTTTTTTTTTCTTTGAGGCTATGGTAAATAGGGTAGTTTTCCTACCCTCTCTTTCAGAGGATTTGTCACTGATATACAGAAATGCCTTTGATTTACAGATGTTGATTTTATATCCTGCTACTTTGCTGAATTCATTTATTGGTTCCAGAAGTTTTCTATACCTCTAGGCATAGAATCATGTCATCCGCAAATAGTGCAAATAGTGTGATAGTTTGAGTTTTTTTTCCCCCAACCGTATCTCTTTAATTTCTTTCATCTGTCTAATTGCGCTGGCTGGAGTTTCAAGGACTAGGTTGAATAGAAGTGGTG